CGGGGGCAGTCCCGGGGCCCCAGGAGTGTCTCAGGCAGGGCACTTATGTCACCCCCTGCTTATCTGTTCCACCCGACTTGGTGTGTTTTCAGGCACTGTGCTATATGATTTCTGTGCTGACAGATGCCCGAAAGCACTGTAGGCCAGTTACTGCTTGTCGGGGAAGTTCTCTTGAAGCCCTTCTGGCAATATTCACAAAATTAGTTGTTACTTTAAGCAAATAACATAAATGCTGGTATTTCAGAGCTGGCTAGTTGGTGAAGGGACATATACAGATGTTTTTTGTACATATATCTTTTTAATCTTGGGGGGGAAAAAAAAGGTGTGTCAGTTTATGGGTGTTTCAGGGCAGGTCAGACTTCAGGAGAAAAGTGAGTGTACATGGTTGTGCAAGTGTTCTGAGGCAGATTTGGCCTGAGGGATCTTAATCACTGATCAGTTCCTGTGAAGCTGTGTGCAATTAGTGATGCTCCCAGACCCTTGCTCACTGCAGTAACCCCAGTAATTTGTGTCAATTAGCACTTTTTTTTTTTTTCTGACCAGAGGGAGTCTCTCAAGATCACTTATGGTTTACTGTTATGAAGTTGCTTTTTGAGCAGTACCTGTTTTCTGTCTAATACAGAAGGCTTTGATGTCTGGGTCTTATGCTAGTATCTCAAAGATATGGTTTTGGCAGAAATAATGGCATTGTCACCATAAGAATCTAAACTTGGATTTGGATACTGCTTGGACAAAAGTACTGTGCATATCTCTGCTAATATCCTGCTCTGGTCAGGAAGACCACTAGTGAACAAAATGAGAATGACTTGCTGTTTAAAAGACCAGATAAGAATATACATGATATATTTTTATTGCATAGAAATTATTAAAGATGTGGGCCCTACGGAAGACGCTTTATCTAAATTGCGACGTTAGAAAACGGAGAGAGCAGATTAAAATTTGAGTGTTCTAGACTGTGTGCTGCTTTAAACTATGTCTTTATGTGCAGATATCCCTCATGTTAAGAGTGGAGATCTCTTTTGCTTCCCGAGAGCCCAACCTGTGTGAAGTTTGGTCACCTCTTTTGTAGCTTCCCTGTTGTCTGGTCTAGGGCTGAGCTCACACTGCATGAATGGACTAGCCCTCTTCAGCTCCTCAGAAACCTCTTGGGAACATAGAATGTCTCACGTGTCAGCTCCTCTGATTCAGTTGTGCCAAAAGATTCAGGAGTTTTGGGGAAGGGGAATTATGGGCAGATGGACAGCACGGTTGTATAGGCTGTGCTCCCTTTGGAGACCTGGCTTAACAGTTGTGGTAATAATAAATAGACCTTTTCTGCCTAGTGCACTGCTGCTGTACAAATACATCTTTTATTTTATATTTTAAGGTACATACTTGGTGTTGTTGGCAAACAAGGAGTAGTTTTCATGCGAGACTGCGAGTTGTATGCTGCTGTTGCCTCTGGGAATGATGCTTCAGAGGCAGTTGCCTCTTTAGAGTTTCTCAAAGTGTCTCTTTGGTCTAAACAACTTTTAAAAGGGTGAAATCTAAAAGCTTTTTGTTAAATCACTGGCATGTTTCGGCTTTTTACATCCCTCTTTGGAATTCTGTGCTGCTTTGATTTCAAGTTGCCCATTCTAAGACCTGAAGTACCTGATGGCAGTTTCACTCCTGACTCTGGTTCTGCTTCGGTTTGCTGTTGCACTTAAGCAAGCAATGAACCACTACTTAGAAGCCTTACCTGCAAGAGATTGAATGTGGTGGGGGAGCTGCTGCTTGGTTGTGCCCCCTATCTGACTCTTGGTGAACTGGAAAGTGGTTCTCATGAATATTTCTTTTCCATCTGTTTTTTAAGAATTTGAGTTCTGAAGAGCTTGAAAAATTAGCCACTAGATATTAAGCTTCTGATAAACAGTCAGCATGGTCTGCCCTGAGACTTGTGCAAAGACCTCCATAACTGTACCTTAAATTATGTGTTAGAGTCTATTGGCCGTGTTTTGTTTCCTAATGGTGGTACTTTGTCCAGTCATAGAATCATAGAACAATTCAGGTTGGAAAAGACCCCTGGGATCATCGAGTCCAACCATTGACCCTACACTACCAGGTCACCCCTAAACCATATCACCCAACACGCCATCTAAGCGACACGAACACATCCAAGGATGGCGACTCAACCACCTCCCTAGGCAGTCTGTTCCAGTGTCTGACCAGTCTTTCCTTGAATTCGTTCCTAATATCCCGCCTA